GAAGTTCCCGAACTCTGCCTCAAGACGGTCTTTGTGCATCCTGGTGGGAAAAAGTGAGCTTAGCCTTATATTCAGCCACTACTGGCTGGGGCTTTGGGGCTCGAACCCCTGGCTCCTTTCCCTTCACCAGGTCCTCTTCCGGCTCCGGGGTGATCTGCGTCACCTTCTTTGCACTCCTCGGTGGTGCATCTTCAGTTACAGTCCCACTCCTCATCATGATGGTGTGCAACCCCTCCTTATGATTTCCAATGTTCGGCAGGGGTTGACCAGGAAGTTTACTAACCGGTCTGGAAGCAAGGGCATCTGCCAGGTGTTCGATTTTGGTGCCCATATCCTGCAGAAGTGTATGTTAGTGCCTCTGGGTAGCTTCAATCTTCATGAGTTTTCCCGTAACCACTTTCATGAATTGCTCTATTTTACTGAACTTCTGGGTACTGGTGATGGCAAGGTAGTCACTAGATCCCTCAATTCTGACATGGGATCGCCTAGTGGTGGGACTGATGGAGATGCACAAGGTTGCTAGTATTGCTACTATTGTGGGGGTGTTGAAAAGCCTGCCTATTTGGGCTAATTAAATGGTTGTTGTTGTTGCATCCGGCCCCAACGAGGCTTGTATGGCTGTCTTCAGAAAACCAGTTGCAGGAGCTAGGAAGCCCGGTGGCTTGGGATTGTTGGTGCCACTACAGGAGAAATTTGGATGCTAGCACAACCCCTCATTGTATGTATTACTTCAGGGGTCGTTGCGCCAAGCATTATTAATGAAATTCAACTACTCCTGCAGTGTGCTGGACTCTCGCATGGCTTGCAGTCCTCCACCGTGTGATTGGTTTTCTCATACCACTAGTAATACATCGCCTGTTGCAGCCCTGTACTAGAAATCATCCCATTACGATCAATAGCTGAAACCAGTTTAGATACAACCTGCACCAACTCAGATGATTAGGTGTCCATATCATGCACACCCCGCCCTGGTGCTTGCTGAGGCCTCCTGGAAGTTCCCCAATCATTACCCTGCTCTGCAATCTCCTCAAAGAGCTGGTTCAACTGTGTCGGCTTCTTAGTCAGCATGTTCCCGCCACAAACTGAGTCGATCAGATGATTATCTTCAGGGAACAAAGACCGATAAAAGGTGCCCACCTTGAAGGCATCATTAAAATCATGATTGGGACACTTTAGGAAGAGACTGGTGTATCTATCCCAAGCGTCCCAAATAGTTTCGTCCTCCTCCTAGGCAAAATGAGTGATCTCCTTCTATAGGCCCGCCGTTTTAGAAGGAGGATGATAATGGGTCAGGAATTTGTTGGCCAGATCAGTGAATGTAGTGATCGATCCCGGAGGCCGATTGTCTAACCACATCTTGGCATGTCCCTCCAAAGTGAAAGGAAAGTAGCGCAACTAAATGGCATCCTGCGGGACTCAATTAATCTTGATTCCATCGATCAGCTCGTGAAACCATCACAGGTGTGCTCTGCTCTGGGGCATTTGCCTGATTGCCCATGGAATACCACCGAGCCGCGCACCATGGTGATGAAAGATGTTCTCAGCTCAAATTTGTTAGCAGCAACTTGAGGATGTTGGATGGCGGACCTCATGTATGTAGCTCTGGCAGTCCAGTAATATCCCATGGTGTGCTCATCGGGGACAACCGCCCTGCCATTATTGGGTTCACCCATGTTGTTCTCCTGGTTGATGTTCAGTTGAGCAAGAGCTTCCTCTGCAGCCAGTGGCGCCTTTAAAGCTCTCTTGAAGTTGCGATAGGTTCGTTCAAGCTCCTAGTCCAATGGCAGTAGAACTCCCGACTAGTTACGAGTCATACACTACCTGCACACAAACAGCAAAAGCAACCCGTGAAGGCACACAGGTGGAAGAGGGAGAATGCAAAAAAGAAAATGCTAAAGTAACAGACTTTCACGTTTCTACAATAACCTAGAGGTTCCGCGACAACGAAGCCAAAAACTTGACAAACTCCGAGATTGGTAAAATCGTCTGTCCACTCAATTTACTATTATGAACTTGCCGCTTTTCCCACTCTACATATTTTCCTTTGTTCTTCGGCAGGTTTCACCAGTCAAAGAACTTCGTAAGGCGCTAAGAATTCAGACACTTCGATGCTATGTGGTTTACCGCCAAAACGAAAGCAGGATAAATGTGATTCTGGTGTTGGCTCTCGATCCCAAGCTCTCGTATACAGTTTCCTTCCAACTCTAAAAATCATATCCAAGCCCTAAGTGGATCAATATATAGTATATCTAGAGAAGAGAAACTTGTTCTGAGTTCTGGTTTGTGCAATTTCGTTCAGGTATCTGTATGTTCAGTGGGGAGTCGAGCTAGTAAACATAGTGGTTTTCACTAGAGAAAGCGGCGACACAGACTATGTAGGGTTGTTGGGTGGAGTCCACAAGATGGTGGTTCAGAAGGGAATCTACAATTCTCAAAACAGTCAACTCCATGCCAACCGAAGCTACACACGCACTGATGTCATAGTATCCAACAGTCCAAACGTATCGTACACAACCAAAGACTCTAGCAGCTCCGAAATCCGAGATTCATTTCAGAAGTTGGGATGCATCCAAGCATAGAACTTTGGAAGTTCTCCAAAAAAAATTGAAAACCCAAAAAGCTTGTGCCTTTTTTAGATGTCTTCCAATACCTCAGAAATATGACCTCTTCTCATTTCAGTCTCATAAAGTCCCAAAGTCAGTCAATCAGTCCTCTGTCCCTCGAATCCTTAAAGGGAAGTTTTCCTCAGGGGAAGAAACAACCCGAAATGCGTGTTTGATATTTCTAACCTTGCGATATATATACAACATATACAGATTCCTAGAACTCAATAGTAGAACACGTTCTAGGGTAGTTTCCTAAAATAAGACGGGTACCTATGCATAACTTCCATTCAAAACCACTATGGAATCTCACAACCGCTATCTTTCCTGGCAAAACTCCACCATGAAATCAGGATGGTTCATGGAACCTGGAATCAAGAAGGAAGAAAGCATACGCTTTTTAACCAGAAACAGAGTCTTCTTCTCTTCTCTTCGCCCCCTTGCTCTCCCAATTACCATCTTTAAATTCAATAATCAAGATTTTCATTTGGCACCCCAACCAATTCATCTTCTTTACTTCTCGACGCTCTATGCTATGTTTAGAACCGATTCCCTCCATGCTGGGTGTGTTTTATGAGACTTTCGGACTTGGTTCTCTTACGTTAGAAAGGGAAGAAGCAATGCCAGTTATATGGGATTTTACTGTGTGCATATTTCAGCTTTTTAGAAGATAGGCTCTCCTTCTAATACAACAACGAGGAAAGAAAGTTGTATTTTTTAACTCCCTCACTCTACATAGCCTCACAACTGGTTCTCTTTAGTCTAACCAGCAGGAGCCATATAAAGATATGCTCTATTCGTTATTCATTCAAAGCGCGGTCGGTCATCCAAATAAACTTATGTTTTGCTTTAACTTGCCGTTGTTGTTTCATAAGCTATGCTGAATAGTCTGAAAAAGTCATCTCTATGTTTGTAGAATGCCAGAATATGTATTTTGTATTTCACTGTAATCTCCTTAGTTATATATAGTCCTGCGAAATTTCGCAACATCTCTCCTTTCCCCAGCCTTCTGGTTATGAAGAAGTTGTAGAAGAATAAATTTTTTGTCTGTGTTAGGAGAATTTATGGGAAGATTATGCAATTTTGTCATATTGAAAATAGGGTTTTCAACTCTGTTTTATGTGTGGGGGTAAATTGCAGCAACTAGTCAATCTAGAGAGGCCAAAACTCATTTGCAGTTTTTAACTCCCTCACTCTACATAGCCTCACAACTGGTTCTCTTTAGTCTAACCAGCAGGAGCCATATAAAGATATGCTCTATTCGTTATTCATTCGAAGCGCGATCGGTCATCCAAATAAACTTATGTTTTGCTTTAGTTTGCCCTTGTTGTTTCATAAGCTATGCTGAATAGTCTGAAAAATTCATCTCTATATTTGTAGAATATGCCAGGATATTTATTTTGTATTTCACGGTAATCTCCATAGTTATATATAATCCCGCGAAATTTCGCAACATCTCTCCTTTCCCCAGCCTTCTGGTTATGACGAAGTTGTAGAAGAATAATTTTTTTGTCTGTGTTAGGAGAATTTCAGGGAAGATTATGCAATTTTGTCATTCTGAAAATAGGGTTTTCTGCTCTGTTTTATGTGTGGGGGGTAAATTGCAGCAACTAGTCAATCGAGAGAGGCCAAAACTCATATGTGCCAATCGGCCAATGAGATACTCTAACATTATCGGGTTTCGAGTGGGACTTGTTTGGGGATTTCCTGGAGCTACGCCCAATTAGAACTATGAATGTGTTATGTGACGGGATACGATCTATTTTTCCCTTTGATGTGGAGTTTATCTCAAGAACAAAAATCAAAGCCGAGCTGTTCACTTGTTATCATGTTTTCCATGAGGACCATGAGGTAGGGGCGAAACCAAGATCTTGGCGCGGGGGAGGGGGGGGTCAAATTCAGCTAGACTCGCCATTACACCTGGACGCCGCGTCAAATTCAAATTTTGATTTTTTATCATTATTATTATTATATTTCTCTTCTTCTTTTTAATGATTCTCTTTCTCTTTTGTTATCGCCACCGTCAGCTTCATCTCCTCTTCAAAACTTTGATTTCTTCCTTTGCTACTGCTCTCTCTTTGGTATTTTAATTCCTTCTGGAATGGATATTCGATGACTAACAGATTCCGAACCCAATTCTCATTGTTCAGACATGTTGAGACATAAATTATGGATTCCGCCGCCACCGTCGCCGTAGAATCCCTATCGAGGGGAGCACGACCCCTCTTTGCCTGAGAAATTAGGATAGGCTCTGAATCGGACCATTCATAACCCGCTCGCCACCACCAACGCTCAGTCATGGCTTTCCTTTTCCAGATCTAGTTCTTCTTCTACAACAACCACCACCACCAGCTGCACTTCTTCTTCAACTCGCCGTCACCATCGTCTTCCTCTCCTGCAGTGGAGATGAAGGGGTTTGTATGGGGCAGTGGACTTCTTCTTCTATATTGATTGGTATGCTTCTCTTCCCAACAAAAAACATCATTCAATCATTCGCCATCGTTCCGAGTTCTTAAACAATCCATTTCAGTTGCTCCGATCATCTTCACCGATGTAAAACTTCTTCAATCAGTCTTATATCTCTCCACTCTTCTTCTTCACTATGAACCGTTCGAATCTGTTGATGATTAGCTTCTCGATCAAGAATTCATAACGCTCGATTTTCCTTTGAAACCCTTATTCTTCCTAATGGCGACCATGGATGAGCGATGTCTCTCAATCTGGAGATTCGACGGAGTAGGCGACCAACATAAGTATCGTCCACCGCCGCCGTTGGGTTCACCTTCGCTAGATTTTAATATCCCCTCAATCGGCTTCTGCTTGTGTGAAGGGAGGTTCATAGGGTGAAAGGAGGTAAATGTTCGAGAGAATGGATATGTCTAATTTGGCACCTGTGAATTTGGAAAATCAATTCTCGCCAAGCTCGACGTCTTCCCTCCTTTACTCCTACCTCACACCACCGACACTCTACCTCGCCGTTTGCTTCTGATCGGCGACAGAGCTCGTGGATGAGGTCGGAGGATTGTCAGCGGCGAAGAAGGGGAAGAAGTCTACAGGGCTTCAATGAAGCTTTTTTTTTGACAAGGGGCAATGCAATTCCATTACTATGGCTGAAACCAAGATTACAGAAGCGGAGAGATTACATCAAGGATCTGAATCCAATCAAAAGGAAGGGAATTCAAAGCACACGACCTAGCAACCCAGTTAGCTTTGGTATTGTGCTTCCCATTGAAGAACTCGCATTTGATCCAGGGATGGATATTGATGTGATTCTTGATTCTGGCAATCCAGCCTGCGACTCTCCATGGCCAAACAACAGTCAGACTCAGCACAGCACTGATAAGCTTAAGACAATCCGATTTAACCAGGCAAGGGCCTTGGAGTTTCGCCGCCAAACGTATTCCTTCCCAGAGAGCCTTTGCTTCAGCTTTGAGAGGGGAGTTGCATTGCAGGTGTTCAGCCCTCCCATCACAGACTTGACCATGGCTGTTCGTAACTACGACGTCATACGCCGCCTTCTGTGGATCGCTAAAGAACGATCCGTCACAGTGTATCTCAAAAGAATGAGTACTCGGCGGTGGTGTAGTTTGATCCGGGGGTGAGTTGAGCTGATTCGGGGGAGTGGTGGTTGCTTTCTTCTTGGGGCAAGTGATCCATTGGTGATAGGCATTATGAGCTCTGTTAATTGTGAGAGGGGGCCATGGAACCGTGTTGGAGAATATGCGTTCATTTCTGGTTTTCCATGTCTGCCAGAGAAGGAAGACAACCTTTTGTATGGTGTTAATGGAGTACATACCTCTCAGAAAGTCCAACCAGTCCAGAATGTTGGTCAAAGGCGGAGGCAAGCTCAGGTTTGGCCATTCCTTGTTCCACCCTTCTGCCGCGTGAGGGCACAAGAACAGGCAGTGGTGAATGGACTCCGACGGGTGGGAACAAAGAGGGCAAACCTTGGAAGGGGCACATTTCCGGGCAAACAGGTTTTCCTTGGACGCCAGGGCATTCATCGCACATCGCCAGATAAAGAATTTTTGCTTCGGTGGAATATTCAGGCTCCACATCCATTTCCATCGTTCTTTTGCCATTTCTGGGAAAGGGTTAAGATCCCCTTGAGAACCTCGAAGCTGGTTATGGAAAAGATGGAAAGCGGACTTCACAGAGAAAGTGCCTTGGTCGGAGGGTCTCCATGCCCAGAAATTCTCCATCGTGGCAGGGTCAATAGGAGTAGCCATAGAGAGGTGGAGTTCATCATGCTCCAGGAATTGTTCCAAAATGTCTTGTTTCCATTCTCTAGTAATGGCATCAAAAAAACAGTCCACCTTGTCTTCCCTGGGGCTTGTGCCTGGTAACACAGTTCCTGAGCGGTCAAATCGCCAGGGATCATGGAACATCCTGGTCGCATTCCCTTTCCCAATGACCCGGACAACACCCTGCTTCATCCAATTCTTTGCTTCACAAATGCTTGCCCAGATCCACGATGCTTTTCCCCCTTTCTTGGCCGACAGGAAATCAGAACGGGGGAAGTAAATGCTTTTCAAAACCTTGGCCCAAAGAGTCTTTGGATTGTTAAGAAGTCTCCATGCCTGCTTGGCCAGGAGAGCCATATTGAAGGTGTGGAATGGTCTGAACCCTAGACCACCTTCTTCTTTGGGAGCATAAAGAACATGTCCCGCACGCCAGTGGATTGTCTTTCTTGTCATAGAGCCTCCCCAGAAGAAATTTCTAAGCATTGCATCCATCCTATTCGTGGTGCCCCGGGGGAGAAGAAAAAGACACATAACATAGGAAGGCAGCGCCTGGAAAACCGCCTTTAAGAGTGTATCCTTACCCGCAGGTGATAACAGAAGGCTTTTCCACGCCTCTCCTTTGGATTCCATCCTTTGAATGAGGAAATTGAACGTTTCCTTTTTTGATCTACCCCATTCAGTGGGTACTCCGAGGTAGTTAGAGTGATTGTTAGCTGTAGAAAATCCAATCGAATGGAGAATCAATCCCCTCTCATCCTCTGTGACATTTTTGCTAAAAAAGATAGTTGACTTGTCCCTGTTAATTTCTTGTCCTGTCATGGAGGCATAATCCTTCAATATGTTTAAGATCTTTCCTGTTTCCCCAATCGAAGCTTCCCCAAAGATAACCGTGTCGTCCGCAAAGAGGCAGTGTGTCAGGGTGGGGCAATTTCTGTTGATCTTCAGGCCTTTGATCTCTCCACTCTGAACAGCCTTCTCAATAAGGAAAGACAGAGCGTTGGACATAAGGATGAAGAGGAGGGGAGACAATGGATCACCCTGTCTGATTCCCCTAGATGGGGAAAATTCCTCCGATGGTTTCCCATTGAAAAGAAGTCTGAACTTGACAGTAGTAATACAAGCCTGAACCCATCCACACCACAGATCACTAAAACCATAGGCTTTCAGAAGCTGAATCAGGGAATCCCATTCGACAAGGTCATAAGCTTTCCTCATGTCCAGTTTCATCATCATGTGTTGTCGATGTGTCGTGCTCTTCTTTTTGAAATGATTCACCACTTCATGCACAATAACAATATTATCTTGAATTTGTCTCCCTCCAGTAAATGCTGATTGAAGCTCATTTACCAAGTTGGGGAGGCAAGGCTGTAGTCTATTTGCAAGAATCTTAGTGATCACCTTATACCTGAAGTTGCAGCAGCTAATGGGTCTGAACTGTCCAATCTTCTCAGGCGCTTCCACTTTGGGTATAAGTGTGATAAAAGTATCATTCCAATTTTTTGGCATGGTATTGGTGATGAAAAAGTTTGAAATCTCCTCGAACAGGGTATCCCCCACGAGACTCCAGTATTTTCTGAAAAAGTGACCTGGGAAACCATCTGGTCCTGGGGATTTGTTTGTTCCCAGTTGAAAAACCGCTCTACGCATCTCCTCTTTTGTGAATGTGGCATTCAGGGAGTCATTCACATCCTGTGAAACAAGGGCGGGGAAGCCAGCAAGCAAGTCGTGGTTAAAGATTCCCCCTTTAGAAGTGAACAGATTATGGTAAAAACCCTTTGCGTGTTCCTCAAGTAAACTGGCGTCGTTAATCCACTCCCCTTCTTCGTCCTTTAATCTGAGAATGCGATTCCTGATTCTTCTTTTGATTGTGCTGGTGTGGAAAAAGCTTGTGTTTTGGTCACCTTCCTGTAACCACTCATTTCTAGATCTTTGTGCCCATAATTCCTATTCCGAAATCCACATCATATTCAATTCCTGGAGCAGGGTTTTCTCCTCTTCAATGTCATTTGGGTTTCTCGTTGGACCCTGGAGCTCCTGTAGCCTCATTCTAATTTCTTTTTCTCTCTTGAGCGAGTTAGCTCGTTCAACTCGTGCCCATCGTTGTATAGCATCCTGGCACTTCTTCAGAATTGTGTAAAGTGTTCCTCCTTGCGACCAGATAGCCTCAATGATGCGGTTGCATTCCCCGTTTTCTCTCCATCTTTTATCAAAACGGAAGGGGGTTTCTCTTGGCCGATTCTTGGGGTGGAGGTCGATTCTAATAGGGCAGTTGTCCGAAACCACAAAGTCTTCATGGAACAAAGTGGCCGAGCCGAAACAGGTTCTCCACGCCGGCGAGCACAACCCTCTGTCAAGCCTCTCTCGGATCAGATCATTGCCTTGTTGGTTATTTGTCCAAGTATAAACCTGACCTGAGAAACCTAAATCCATAAGGGCATTTTGAGCGATGAAGTACTTAAACGGTACCACATTTTCATTCCGAAGGGGACATCTCCCCTTTTTTTCAAAATTGGAGATGGCAACATTAAGATCTCCTATGATCAGCCATTTCTCCTCCATGGAGTTCCTTAACAGCGAAAGGCGCTCCCAAAAGGTTCTTCTCTCCACCGGTGTGGTGGGAGCATGAACAAAGGTACAGAAAAAGGATTCCCCATCCCTACTGATACTGCAATCCACAAAAAACCGACACGAATCTAATACTACAACATCTAGATCATCTTTCCACCACAGAGCTAGACCACTACCTTCTACTGCAGGGCTAACGTACTTCGAATGCACAAACTTCATTTCCTTCCTCTTTTCTTCCATGAAGCGGTCTTCCTTTCTGGTTTCCATGAGAAAGAGTAATGAAGGGCCGAATTGCCGACATAGTCTGCCGCAGTAGCTTCTTGTAAGGGATTGGCCGAATCCCCTACAATTCCAGCTGATGATTCTCATTTCTGGATTGGCAGCTTGAGGCTCGCCGCCGCCGCCCTCGGGGAGAGGGGTTCCCCTTCCCCGGAGTAGTTCCCATCCGCTGTTATTTCAGCGATGCTTCTCCTTCTTGTGATGTGCCTTCGTCTCTGGTAGGTCTTCTGGTTATCACCTGGTGAGGCCTCCATCTGTGGGGTGGACATTGCTGGGCTGTTGAGAGTCTCAGGTTTCCTTTTCTTCTCTGGCCTGGGCCTGGTGATTTGCTCCTCTTCCATTGCTCCTTTCTCTGGGCTGGGATTAGGTTGCTGCTCTTGTGGGTTAAACATATGGGCCTGCTGGGAGTTTGCCTGGGAGAAGGGTGGGCTCAGTTGGGTGTAGAACGGGCTGCCCAGAGATAGTGTCTGGCCCATTTCAAAAAGACCCAAATTCTTTTCCTTTGAGCTCTTCCCTTCCCCGAGGCCAAGGTTCCGCTGCAGAGCCCTAGTGGTTGCTTCCATCTCCAGCTCCAGTAGTACCGGTTGGATGTTAGCGGCTGCTGCTCTGACCTCTCCCCTCTGGCTCCACTCTGAGTTCCCTCCTGCATGTGGCAGTGCCATGGCAGTAAATCCTGGTGGGCTCGAGGAAGAACTTTGGCCAGTATGTCCCATCATTTGCAGAAAGGAAGAATCGCCTCGGGATCCCCGAATAAAGTTAGTCGGGAGACCGGTGAGGGTGGGTCGGCGAGCTAGAGCTTGTTTCTCTCGGAACGACGCCGGCGGCGTATTTGCCTGTGAATCGTGGCCAGCCTTCAGAGCGGCGTTGTAAACCTCAGACGGTTCAATGCTCAGCCCTCTCCTTCGGTGATCCTCTCTTGTGGGGCAGTTGTGAATCAGATGCCCAAGTTTACCACAGAAAAAGCAGAGGTCCATTATCCTCTCGTACTTGAATCCTACCCAGATGGATCGCTGCCCCAGCGGGTACTCAAAACCAATTGGTAGCGGTTGATCCAGTTGAACTTCGACTTTAGCTCTGACGAACTTTAGCCAGCCTCGGAAGTCAAAGTTGGAGCGATCAATGCAGTGGAACTGGGGAAAATGTATTCCGCTACCGCTTGAACAGCTTCCTCATCTTTCGGCGATTGGGGGAGATCATGCATCTGGATCCACAAGGTGACTGTTGGGATATCTTCGGATTCCGCTTTTTGTTCCCCGTCCCATTTCTTCAGGGCTATAAGGGTGTTGCTTAGATTCCATGGACGAGCGTCCCAGACTGCATCTCTCTGTTGTTGTGATTGGAAGGTATAGACGAACAGATTCTCTGCTTCCTTCGTTGTTTGGATGTCCCCGTAAGCTCTCCATTTGCTGATTGCTGCATTTTTCGCCTTATGTAGGTTGACGCTGGTATCCGTGATCCATTTACCCAGCAGCATGGACATTCCGCTACCTCTCGCACCCACAATTGTTGGTCTCACATTCAACACCAGATGGCTATTCTCTCCTCTCACATTCTGCATATTATTTTCCATGAGGTTGCTGGTTGACAGGGATTGGAAGCTTGATGATATGCTTGAGCTCTCTTTGTTTGGTTTGTTGATCTGGGGATGAGGATGGTTTGAGTCTCCTGAACTCATCTCCCTTAAATAGCCTCTTCCCTCCCCCCTCTGTATCAGATAGTCCCCCAACAAACCATTTAATGCTCTCGGATATGAATCTTTTCCCCTGGCGTATCCATATCTGATAGGAGATGTCAGAAATCCTCTTAATTGCCATATGGGGTAAGTGGTTATGACTGTATTCATTCCTCCTTTGCTTGCCGAGGGTGCTAGCTGTACCTTCCATGCGGTTCGTTCCTTATGCACCCTGCTCAGACATAAATTCCTGACTGCTGTATTCGCTGATTGGCTGCAGTAGGAGTTAATGTGAATGATTGGTGTGATATTTGCCCAGGTCGCTATCTCAGGTGCTTCCCTTTGATATTTATTGCAGGGGGTTCCTTCCACCAGGAGCAGTTGAAGCGTGTCTTCAAAGTCTGGCTTTTGATCTTCCTGCTTTGTGATCGCCTTCAGTGCTCCCTCTCCTCTGTTGGCCGTGACTGGTTCTTCCTCTGGTGGTTTGGGCGGTGGTAGGGAGGTCATGAAGTGAGCTTGGTACTGTTTGGCCTTCCCCTTATAGGCTAGGTACTACAACTCTTTTCCTTAACTCTCTTTGGATTTTCTGACATTTTCTGACCTTCCTTGTATAACTGCGGCAAGACTTTAATGTGGATATCGGTTGTTGTTGCTGCGAGAGGCCTCAGGGGGGTATCATAGATGGATGTAGAGGATATGTCTGAGAGAGATCTCCGAAGAGGATCATTGAAGGCTCCGCAAGCGACAGCTGTAGATTGATAGTGGGAAACTAGGTGTAAACTAGGGTAATTTGAGAGCATTTGAACAGTGTTGGCTACTCTGAGTCTCGCCTGCTATTCTTTAGGAATGAAAGTTTGTTCAATGAAGCTATTGATGGTGAAATTTGAAACGATTTGGGATTTTCAAGGTGCAACCTGATTTCTCAAATCAATTGTGGGTGGAGAGCTTGAAGGCACGGCAAACAGAGGGGGGATGTGGTGGAGAGCTTCGAAAATGAAAAGTATTATCGAAGAAAATGAATTTATTTTAGGAATTTTCAATTAATTAAAAAATGCTAGTTTCCATCCAGGCATAGTTTTATATGTAAAATCGTCATGTCAGGAAAAACAATTAGTACAGTGAGCATTTATTACTATTTCGTTAAAGTTATTGACAGAATGGCTATATCTATGTATTTTTCAAAATTTGGCTATTATTGTCAAAAGTGCAAAGTTATGGCTATGCAAGTGTATTAAGCCTATTTGTTAACAACTTTGTATTTTTGTATAGTTCAAATATAGGTAATTTTAATGTGTGGAGATCCAAAAATATAATTACACATATTTTTCAGCTATTTTATGTTTTTGTACAGTTCAAAATTGTGATTTTAGTGTGAGGCGATGAAAACTCGAATAACTACACATTATTTATAGCTACATTATGGTTTTTATAGCTCAAAATGTAGTTTCTCCTATTAGAATAAATATTAATGAGTCAAAACAAAGTAAATTACAATAAAAAATAGAACAATTAATAAATTCTAGAAAAGTTGAGACTTAGATTTTAAACGGGAAATAAGATTTCTTTCCAGAAATAAAGAAGTCTCTCTCTAATGCTTAGAATGAGATACTTTCCAACTTTTGTTAAAAAAATATAGAGTTACCAATTTAGAAATTAATGTAGGAAGCAAATTGTGATGATTTATTGGAGACCCAGAAACCCTGCAGTCTTCACACCCTTCCATTCTGACTCCTCCTTTTCCCAATCTTATAGAAAAACCCTAATTCCCAAAATCAAAAACCTTCCCTTCCCTTCCATTCACCACGCGTCACGCCTCTCCTCTCTAGAATGCCCTCCTCTTCCGAGACCAGATCGTCGGCCATTGCTCGTCCTCTTCCGCTGTCGCGCTCGTCTCACATCGGCTTCCGTCATCTACGCCTTCGTCGCCTCCTCTCTTCCACTTCACCACCATCATCGCCTCAGGCAGCGATTCGTCCATCTCCGGCCTAGCTCTTCCCGCCGATCGCCGCTTCTCCTCGTCGTACTTCATAGAGATAGAGAGAGGAGAGAGGAAGAAGAAGGGGTTTGGAGGGTAGCAGTGACAGAGAGGGGAGAGGAGAAGTCTGATTTTGTTTTTATTATTTTTGGGGAAAAAGGGAGGAGAGAAGAAGAAGAAGAAGATAAGGGATGTGTGGTGTGGCTTGGTTCTTCTTTTTCTTTCTTTTTAATTTTTTATTGCTTGGTAGTTGGTTGGTAACGTGGGAGGAGAGCAGAAAAGAGAACGTGGGTGGGGACGTGGGGTTGGGTTTTTTTTTCTCTCAATGAACTCGGTTAATTGCGGATAACCGAGCCAAAACCAAAAATCGTTTGGTTGGTGCTCGGCTAACCGTGGATTCCCTCGCGGTCGGTGGTCTGCATGCATAAGGGACGGCTTGGTTTAACCAATAACCGGAAAATCGGTTTTCAGTTAAACCGAAACCGATCGACTGACACCCCTAGGAATGACCGGTCGAGGTTTGGTGGTTTGCGGTTTCGGTAGCTGTGGATCTGGGACCCGTTGACCAAACTTTTTCAACCAATACTAAAGCTAGACGACGCTGTTGCGGGTCCTATGCAGACTGCAATTAAGTCGGATTCTAGTCCGTCCAAGCTCCAACCTTTGGCTCTTTTTTTTTTCTTAGAAAGATGGACGTTAGTAGAGGTGGGTATGGGTGCGGTTCGCACCGTATAGTTATAAATCGCACTGTACCGCACCACATATTATTTGGACAACATCGCATGTTGGATCGTAATGTAATCGTATAGGTAAGTGGTTTGGTGCAGTTTAGACCACAGCCGCAAAGTGCTCCCACCTCTATGATTTCTTTGCTTTTGCAATTTTTGGTCATCACCTTTGGAAGAATGATTATGCGTATATAATATTTATATTACTTCATTGGGTAAAATATCTCGAGTACCACTTAAATTTGAGAATTGGGGTAGACATACCACTTAAGTTTGAATAGGGCGTCGGGTACCACTGAACTCTATTATATTTGCACCCGGTACCACTTAAGTTTATTGCTATGTGCATTGCATTAAATTAACCAACTAACACACCTTAGTGGTTATCGTTTCAGTTATTAACCCAGGGTTCGGGTCGATTGTTCAGTTAAACTGGATAACCGTCAACTGATTATCACCCCTAACCACCACCACCACCACCACCATCCTCTCCCAGTCACCTCCGTCCTACTGTCATCATCCTCCAGCGTCCCTGCCACCATCCCCCTTCGCTGCGCCGCCTACCTCCCCCACGACCCTCTCCCTTTGAGTTTTCATTTTCCAAATATGACTTTTCGATTTCCAGATCCGATTTTTGTACCACTGCACTGATATTTGTACCACTGCACTTAAACTCAGATATAATATTTGTACTAGTGCACTGGTAGTGCCACTGTTGTAACACCCTACTACTTCTCGTAACATCCTACTACTTCTTCTCGTACTATTGGAACCATGATCTCAGTATATAGTCATTAAACCATAGGTTTTAACTTCACATTCAGACCTGGACATAACACTAGCATACGAGTTACATCACCTACTTAGGAAATTTAAGGTAGTTTTTCCCAAAGCATCCAAAAGCATAACACCAAACGGTGCAAAGTTTGAGTTTAAAACAAAGTACAAACCCAACATAGTAGTTTACCATTCAGTGGGTACACAGGCTTAAAAAGGTTAAAAAATTTAGTTCCGACTTCAAAAGTGAAAGCATATGGAGAGTTCATTTCCGCCGCACACCTTTTAGCCATCCGGCTGACTTCACTGGTTCGACCGAGGCTTATGTTGTTTCTTTGGCTCTGAAATGGAAAAATATTGACGGGGTGAGACGCCACTCAGTGATTAATTCTTAACCTAATATATATTTTAGTATGAGCATGGTATTTGGGTCATGAAGCGGCTCGGATACGTGGACTTGTGATAGATCGATAAATGAGCTATGAATGAGTATAAGCTTATATGATGAGAATTGATAATGTGGATATGTATGAGTTTGATATTTTCAATGCATTGACAAATGAGCTATGTGAAAAATGTATTGATGTGCAATTGAGATGATTATGTATAGCATCAATGAGTATATGATATGATATGTGTGCCTACGAACTTATGACGAGATGCTTTACATGAGTATTGTCTAACCCATGAACTACGTGGTCACCTAATAAAAACAAAATGGTGCCTTGTTATGCATTCATGAAAAGAAAAGGAGAAGAAAAGGGTTATACGAGAAATCCCTATAAGGAGTATCGCCAGGCCTGGCTACGAGTTCATGAGATATGGCACTTTGTGCGCACGATTTTATGGGAATTGGAACTTTGTGCCTACGAGATTACGAGTTCATGAGATCCCGGGGAGTGCATAACCTGGCATTAAAAGTAAAATGTACATAATATAGCTAACTATGCTTGTGTTTGAGCCTTGGTACCAGGATTTCCTGTGAAGTGGCTAAGTGATGTTTCCTACGATGTGTTCAATAGATTGTTCATGAGATTGACGTAATTATGTGAAGGCTTTACTGTGATGTGTTCATACAATGATTAATCATGAGATTGTGTAGTTGTTACATGCCTCCATATGTTGCTGATTATATGGTGATACCAAAATGATGTGTTAGTAAATGTTTTTACCTGGAATAGGGTTTGATATGAGTAACTCAAGGGTAAGTGTGTATGATATGAGAACCACCTAAATTGGTTAATGAACCTTGCATACATAGTTGGGTAAAGTACCATTTAAGTTACTAGATTCGTTAAGTGAACTTAAGCCCTTGGTTTACCTGATCACCGTGCACAACTAGAGTATATATTGGGTTATTAATTACTCATTGAGTGGCGTCTCACCCCGCCAATATTTTTCCCTTTCAGATCCTCAAAATACAACTTTATAATTGCAAGTTATGTGACTAAATTTTGGAGAACAATAATTTTTAACCTCTTACAGGCCCCGTCTGCGAAGGCAGTACAACAGTGAGGCCATGAAGGAAGAACTGGAATAGAAGAATAAGTCTCAGGTAGCCATTCTCACCTTGGCATCCATTAGTCGTTTATAAATTGTCGGCTTGATTCTGTCCACAATGCCTCATATCAGGGACTACATAATCTATTAAAGATCAGGATTCAGAAGCTATTTTCTCCATTATATAGTTTGGTAGCAGTATGTCGTTATAGATTTTGGCCCTCGTAGATTTTTGTAAATGGTCGAGAACCATTCCCTAGTATTCTTGCAGGATCAAGTACTAATTATGGGTGAATCTGTTTTCTTTTCTCCAAATATCTCACTTCTATTCCACGTTCCAGAATCCAATGCCTCATATGGTATTGATCCTTTCTATATGCATTATTGCTAATGAATAGTGTTTCCCTGTAACTTCTGAGCATGTAAGTTCTCTAGTTATTTTCCATCCATAATGAAATGCAGTATCTCACTTCACATTATTATTACTGACCCACACAGCCACACTACTAATTTGTATGCCCTTTTTCCCTGCCCTTTTGCAGATCATCATCTCTATTTAGAGCATTGGAAGAGGAAGTGTGTAGGCCACTTCTCTCACATATAGCTTGCTACTTTCTGAGCCTGAAGATATTCATGAAGTCCAGCTACTTTCTGGCCACTTCCAGGTACAACTTAATAGTGATTTATTGTGTTGACCAAATTTCTACATTTCAATGGACAACTAAACTGAAGAAAATGCAGCAAATCTCGCCATCTTTTTGAGAGATATGGGGACATAATAGACTAGTGCATGGCGAGGTGAGCATCTCCGCCTCTTAAAATGTAAGAGAATTAGATAACTCTGCTTTAATTTACTAATATTCATGCATGATCCAATATTAATTTGTGGAAGAGCTTGTTTTGTGTTTTTTTTTTTCCAGCCATACAAGGCTTTATGGGTAACTAGGGGACACGATACAGGTTGGTTTTTCTCTCTTCTTTAGTTTTGTTGTTATGTTTACAATTCTCTTTTTTAACCTTAAAGGATAACAATGATGAACTCTCTAGCTGTAATATTTTCCTCCTTCTCATTGGTCTGGTTTTGCTGTACAGACAATATAGAAGAGATGTATGGTTTGTGAGATCTGGAAAATATATGTGAACTCTAATAATAACTACACTTGGGATTTTTTAGATTCTAATTGCAGCTGCTACCTAAGTTTTGGTTTTGGTCTATGATTTCAAGGGATTCAGTACAATTAGACTGGTATAGTTCTTACATTTTATGTTGTCCAAGGGAATTTTCACGCTCAGATTTGAGATATTGAGCATTGGTTTCATTATTATAAACATGGTTTTATGTTAAGAAGCTTGACGTTTGATGGTAAATTGAATAACTCCATTGTCTTTTGGTGTATGTGTTCCCATAAGCAGGTTCCATAATGGTTGTTTAAAGAGATGGTCCTTACTATTCTAAGGATGTCGTTCAGGTACTATGGATAACATGCATCTGAGTATGCTAAATTTTTATGTATTTCTTATGGTTATCTAATCACCAATCAATTTCCGTTTCGAAACCTATTGATGTGAACCTGTAGTTGGTGTAATATATTCTAAGTTGTCTCCTGATATTAAATAATCACTACAACAAAATTACTCTTCTGTGACGAGTTTTTTCGTGATGGGTCAAATTTTGTCACATAAAGTACATTTTATGTGACAAAAAATACTGATAGTCACCAAAAGTTCAAAAAGAAATTTACACCCTGCAAAACATCATTCGTGACAGAAATAATTTTTTCTGTGACAGAGTCAAGCGTCACCTATAGATCATTGTTTTCTGTGATGCAATTTTTCGTCACATATATTGAATGTTCTTTTTGTGATAGTGTTGATGGTCACACAAAATATTATTTAATGAGAAAAAGTTAAAATAAAAATTAGGGCAGGCCCCTTCTAAAATTTTGCCCCTCCCACTCTGTCTCTCTCGTCTAACCTCCCGCTCGCGTAGAAGAAATAGAATCGAGCTCCTCAAGAAAGAAACATGACTTTCTCCTTCTCCGAGGAATCTCCGTTGCTCCGAACACCGAAACTGCTCGACGGTGGCAGGAAGGCAGCGTAGCAGGTAGCCAAATCCAGCGCTCAAATCAGATCTCATCCATTTCCCTTCGCTCCCCCTTTATCTCTATATGATCTTAAATCCCTAGATCCATTGCTTCAAATCAATTTTGTGAATTCCGAATCAATGGCTTCATATTGATCCCATAGGATTCGTGCAATCCAAGAAGGTTAGTAGCATCGATTAGCTTAGATTAATATCCTCAAAGTTCATGGTTGTTCTCATTCCTCCATTCGAGAGTTAGATCTGAGATCTCCATATCCGCCATTTTAGATTCGGGTGCGGAAGCGATGGTAGTTCGATTTCGTCCATTTGTTTACACCTAATTCCAGTTTTATATTATGTTTTGTGTATTTCAGATGAAGACTGACCAACTTCGTAGCACTTGGCTGGTATAGAGGACGTCCTCGGGTTGTGTTGCCGTGAACGATGATGAATGTTGGAGCTTTCCTGGTCATGCCTCCAGATTTAAGGTAATACACTAAAATCACCTTGAATTGGTTTATCTCCTACAAAATGGACTCTTTCCCTCTGGTTTCAAAGCATGGGTTCAGTATTCCCAAAAGTTAAACATATCAGCAGCCCTTTCAGAGTTTTGATAAGGTCTCTGTATGTAATTGGGGTTGTCTTATGCATCGATTAACTAATATTCTTATACGATAGAGTGTTTGTAATTTGATTTAATGAGTTGTTAGGTTGCTCATTGTTTGAACATCCTAACCACACATTCCATCTTTACCTGCTTCTCTTTGAGATATATGAAACACAAAAAAATCAAGCTATCTTTTGTGAGTTGCCTAAGCTAACCTGCCTTAGAACGTTATTAAGTTGGGTTGCCTAAGAACGTCTCTTACAAATTCATAATGAGTTTAGTTGAGTTGAGTTCTAAGCAATATATTATCATCAAATGGATGGGTATGAGACTAGGTTTTCAGTTACACTTAAGTATTTCAGCACATCTAGAGGATTCAATTCCCTATCACAGTCTCAAAATAGGGCCCTGATTCAATGGCCGATACTATTCATTCCATTATTGGATTGCTTTACTTTACCGTCTACATCTAGGAACTGTTAAACCAGCCATTGCTGCAATTTAACACCTGCCACCCCAGGTTTAACGTTCCATAAAATGTTCATTTCTTTGTCATAACTTGAAAAATTAAACTGAATTGCTATCACCAAGATAAGATCCTCGTACTGTATTATTTCTTTTATCAATGTTCCTAATCTATATGTTAACTAATGAATATGAGACTTTTTCTCTTTTGCCTTTGAGAATACATTTACTATGGGAAACTTGCAAGGTATAGCCTTCCATAAGTTGCAGGTAAACCATAAGTACACCTACTCTGGTTTTGAAGAAAGCAGTCCTGCCATTACAGACTGCTCTAGGTATCATTTATTAACTGATCGGTAGCATCTCAATGGATCAAGTTCTCTTCAGTTTGCTTTCACTTTTGTATTATCATTCGTGCTTTACTTAAATTCGTCTCTCCTACATAGCATTAGGAGCATAATAATTTACCATCGCTTTTATTGGACTTAGCCTTATATTATGTTTCATACATAATGACATTATTATGTTATTGTCAGAAGCAGCCGGGTAAGGGGTATTAGTCCGAGAAGCTCTCTACGGGAAGCCAACAAAGCTCCTGAGGTAGTACTTAATGAGACTGAATCTAGGTGCTCTATGTGAATCTTACTTGATTTGATTCTTCTACAGCTTTACTAGTTTCTTTTCTTTCATTTGCAGCTGCAATCTTCCATTGAGATGGGTAAGGAATCTGTTTGCCTCTAAATTAGTTGATTCTTGTAGTTAATTTAGCTTCGGTAGAGTCCAGATTAGCTGCTTCTTGTAGTTATGGCCCTGCCTCTAAGTTTTGCTTTCTCTAATTATGATTGCTAGTTGGTTGCTTGGATCTCAATTTGTTGTTCCTTGTAGTGAGAGTCCAGATTAGCAGTGTCACTGTCACGGCTAGCTTTTGCAATTGTCAGACCTGGTTACTACGAGGTGCATTTTCTCTATCATACCTTTAATTTCCCTGTCTTCTTGGACTGTGCTCTGTTTCACATATTGAAGTGAGTAAGCTTGTGGAAGCAAGATGGCTGTATATGAAGTTAATACCTTGTTCTTCACGTAGTATACTTTGATAAAAGGTTAGTGCTTCTTTCTCTTCATGTGGTCGTTACTTCACTTGGGTCAAATAATGTAGTCTTATCCAAATGTTAGGCTAGCATGAATGGGCCACAACATATGATTTGCTAGGCATGTTGGGGGTGTTGCGTTTGAACAAGCTGTTAAAATATTAACTTGCAATCTTATTGGGGTAATGTTTGAATTAGATAATTTATCAAGTAAATTAAAGTTTTCTATTCTTATGATTAAGTTCGAGATAGGGTGTATTCGTGGTTGACGTCCAGTGTAGTTGTTCTGTCTTTCAAAGTATATAATGATTTGATTCTTTTTTTTCGTTGAATATGATTTGATTCTTAGGTTTGATATGCACTTAATATTTATAATACTCATGATACGAGAGCCTATCATTGCAGATCCTAGGTGAAGAAGCCCACTGTTCCGGCAATGAGAATACTATGCGAGAAGTCCTTGGGATAAGAAAGTGAAAAATCAAACTTCTGCAGATGTGTGTAATTCTGAATGTGAACTCTGTTGACATTATATTAGAGTGTTGGAGCAAATTGTGTCCTTGTAAATATGGTACAAGTCCATTTTATACATGTAGACTCGCGATATTCATGAGATTTTTTATATTAATGGGGAAAATTACAATATCACAAGTTTGGGTTTGAAGAACAGAATAAAGTTTCTTGTGGTTGTCAAACATACAATTCTGTAACATGGAGCACTACAGGTAAAGAAACTGGTAAGTAGGTAAAACTTTTGATGAAGATAAACTTGTCACCGAAAGGTTGACAATTGTAACGAGTTTCTTCCGTGGCAAAAAGTTACGACATTATGTAATGCGTTAAAGCGTCACGTAAAGGTTAGCTTATGTGACAAGAACTGGTCGTGACCAATGGTGTTGCTTTATGTGACGGAGTACCTCGTCACCTAAAGTCGACTTTTATGTGACGAACCAAAAATTTATCGTCACCGAAACATTTTGCAACGGCGTATAGGTGACGCCAGTGGTGACGAAAAAATTTCGTCACATAAACATTATGTCACGGAATTTTGTGCTTTTGGTGACGAAATAACTTGTTACAGAATGTGCTTTTTCTTGTAGTGAATGATGCTTTCCGAAATGCATGTTAGATAATTGAACTACTCAAATGAAATGAAAGTGTTTTCCATTTGACATTCTGGAAAACTTGGTGGTGGTCTTTGCAAGATAGATGAAATGAGAATACAGAAACATCTTATATTCATACCTACTGTGATTAGACTACTTTCTTAGCTCAGTTTCAATAAAACCTAGGTCCTGGCAGGCGGCAACATGGTTCTCTTATGATCTCTTTAAGTTGAATAAACTGGGGAATAATTTTACTAATGAATGGCTCTACGTAATGTCAGAAAGGTTGACATTTGTATATTTGTATATTTTTGGTCAATGTTTATTCATGATTTTCTGAAACCTTTATTTGTTTCATTTTTTGCAGATAATTGTCAAGATGGCAGCTGCCAATGTGGTGAGGTGTGTTTGGTTTGAATTCGATTCTTCTTGTGCCTTAGTGTTGCAGACTGTTTTTGTTGCTTCAAGGATGACAGGATTCAATAGTATTAAGGAGTTGAAACTTTAGAATGTTGATTTATAAATAGTATCAGAATCTGACTGGGAGTTCTTTTGTTGAGGATTGATGGGTGTTTGTTCTTAAATTTAGAGATATTAATAGATTTTCGAATTCAAATTGGTTTTTGTAATTGAATTTATCAAATATTGATATTTGGGAAATATCACAGCAGGCAAGAGGTGATTATTAGAGCAGGTTTCTCCAAAAATGGCCTTGTAACTTGGCGATGGTAATTGACTTTAGCGACGGTCTCGCCCGTTGCTAATGGATCTGATACATTTTCTAATATTTAATTTAACGACAATTCTTTTAAGCATAATGACGTTTTTGTTCCGTCGCTAAATGTACCGACGGTCATTGTGACGGTCTACCATAACCGTCGGGAAATAATTTAAGGACTGCGGGATCTGTGATGGTCAGGTGCCCATCAGGAAATGTTTTAGCGACGGTGAGGATTGTCACTAACTGTCCCGAAAACCGTCGCTAAACGCCTGTTCTGTGGTAGTGTGAATTTAATTATAGTAAAATGCGGTTGCATGTGTGATAGAGTATGTGTTAATGATGATATCATGTGATGATGATATTGTGTGATTTCAATGTGGAGAATGATAAGAATGTTGATGGGATGCGTATAAAGAGGCACGAAAGGCCTCCGTGATGTTGATAACGATGATGATGATGATGAAGTCAATGATGACAATGATGTTGATATTGATAATGGTGATGCATGTGATGTGAATGATGTTTATGGATTTGATATGAGATGATTTGAATGTGTGTTTCTTTTTGTATGTGTGTGTTAATGGTTAGTCATGCACCCGGAGAAAATGATGATGTGATAAGTCCTCAGTGAGGACGTTGTGTATATATTCGGCTATGTGCCAATTTCCCGGGCTATGGGAGGAAGTCACTGATGCTTTAGGTCGGCGGAGGTGGTGGAGCCTAAGCATCGAGGAGGAGGTGGAGGAGGGAAAGAAGATGATGGTGCATGACTAGGCCGGAATAGGTGATGGATGCTTGTATGTGCATATGCTTGTTGTGAATCGTTTTATGTGTGTGTGATGATGATATTTAAATGGGTATGATCCTATTAATGAATTTGTGCTGGTTCTAAATGTTTCTATGTCTGAGTGGCGAATGTTTATAGAGGTACAAGTATAACGAGAGAAAGAAGGGTATAACGTTAATTGTGATTGCTCAATACCTTGTTTATGTTAATTACGCTACTAGGTTAGTTTTTACTCATTGAGGTGATGTCTCACCCCCGTTAAAAATTTTCCCCAGATTAGAAGTGTTGGACTAGAAGTCAAGGAAACTCAATAAGGCTCAGCTCGGCATCAATGAGGTGGGATGGTGGACTCAGACTCCGACATGACTTGTTTATAGTATTTTGAGAGAAGATGGTCTTCTCTACTGTCATGTGTTTTGACGTATTAAAAGTTTATGTAAATTATGGTTTGGTTTGTAAACTAAACAGAATTGTAAAAGGTTTTAATCGGTACGATTATGTGAATGTTTTAAAGTATGTATGGGTGTTACACCCGTAGTGCAAAATGACGACTTTCTAATAAGTAATAACCCTATATATTTGTTTTTAATTGGACTCAACATTGAGCTGAAAATGTTAGTGGTTCATGGTTCAATTATTAATTCTCTAGACTGTTGGTCAGTCGTGTATGGACCCGTTCATACTTGTGATTAGAATACATAAAAATAGTATACTAATTAGGGTTAGACGAAGAAGACAAAGAAAGAGTTATGAAAGGCGAGTGAAAAATGAAACGAAGAGGAAGTAGATGGTGGAAAGGTATCCAATTCTTTTAGTTGGTCGTCAATACAAGAGTCAACCCTTTTCGCCGTAGCAATTTATTGACACTTGCTTATGTAGATGTCGCATATTTTGTCACATGTAGTTAGTAAAAGTTTGTTTAGTACCCCATAAATGTACTAAATGAGTTTATGAATTCGTTCTTGCAATATTTTAGAATCATTTCTCTTTTATCATTTTTTTAATATTTCACGTAATGAGCAAATATAAAATGGTTGAATCTTCTACTATAGTTGAGTGATAAAACATCTTGTATGATACAAACTAAATTTATACTTTTATGTTATGGTGGATTGGATTCATGATTAGGTTCAAAAGGATTGGTGGATTGGAATCATGGATTCAAGTGAAATATAAACATTAAACCAATATGTAAATGTAAAAAATTGTATGTACGAAAATCTCATAAAACTTAGATAATAAAACATAATTGTTCAATGATTTTACACTAAAATTAAATTTGGGGTATCAAAATGTAAAATGTACATTCTAGTGACTAAGTTGTGATTTAATTAAATTTGAGTTATCAAAATGGTATTTTTTAGGCAACAATAACGGTGCTTTAGGTTTGTATATAGTAATATATATTGCTCGTTTGTTTTCATTGTTTCTCACTTCTCTAAACGTGTTATAGCAACCACATATATAGCTCCACAGAGAGGTTTCCTCACAAGCTGCAAAAACTTAGAAAGCATAGGAGAATCTTTGCATTTTACTGGAGTTGTCTGAAAAGTTACATTCTCTCATCCTCAAACAAATGACTAGGAGAACCAGTCCGGTCCGGAGAAGTGTGGACTGAATGGGCATCAGACTCAAAAGTAGTGGAAAATGAGGATTAAAATAATATCAAACGCAAGTGAAATATGAACAACTGTGGAGTGAGTGTATGAACCTAACATTTTCACAAGTCACAACAATATATAATCTCCCAGTTGGCTTCAACCTCAACCCCCTAAAGCACGCTTTAGCCCTGCCCTCTGTTCCGTGGTCAACTTGGTTGGGAACTTGACCTCAAACTTGATCCTCAAATCTCCCCTATTACCAGGCTCTTTAGCTATGGGCATCCCTTCCCTGGGCACGACAAGCTCGAACCCAGGACTTATAATGTCGGTAACTGGAACAGAAAGGGTCCGACCATCCAATGTGTCGATGCTGGCCGTGGTCCCTCCTAGTGCCTCTGCTAGGGTGACCCGCCGGTTGATCATTAGCTCATTCCCATCCCTCTTGTACACGTCGTGAGGTTTCTCGTCAATCACAAAAACCAAATCTGCTGGCAGTTGGTTCGGCTGCTCGTTCCCTTTGTCTGGAAATGTTATCTTCGTTCCTTTCTTCCAACCTGGTTTCACATCTATCGTAAGTATCTCTGTTTCTTGCGCTTGCCTCCTGTCACAAATACAATATAATGAATTGAATGGTGTACGAGTTTGTTGTTATGATCCAAAAGGTAAACAAATTCAAACAAACTAATGAAAAATTACCCATGGGAGTCAACTACAGTTCTGGAGATCTTCATTTTCCTAGTTGACCCAGAGTAGAGCTCCTCTAGAGTGCATGGCAATTTGCTTTCTACAGGAGGAGGCTTCTTAGGTGCAGTACCGGTAGTCGTCGTTCCTTCGCTTCTGAACATGTTATTGCTGTCAAACATCCCATTTCCTGCTGTTGCACCACTTTCAGACTGGAATCTGGACGATGATCTTCCAACACCACCTGTTGCTCCTCCACCAAACCCGAACGGGCTGCTCCCAAAGAACTCTGCAAATATGTCTTCTGCATTCCTCGAATTTGGCCCATTCGAACCATTTCCATATCCGGCTGGTGGGATGTCGTTCAGCCCTTCTTCTCCATATTGGTCGTATATCGCCCTCTTTTGTGGGTCGCTTAGCACCTGCAGAAAAGAAGCAAAAAAGCAAGCAAACATATTCTTTGAATCAATAAGAAAGAAATCATATTTTTGGTTTACTGAGTTTTGGGGTTTCATTTACTCACATCATAAGCTTCAGAGATCTGTTTGAATTTGGCTTCAGCTTCCTTCTTGTTGTTGGGGTTCTTGTCAGGGTGCCATTTCATAGCCAATTTTCTATAAGATTTCTTCAGATCATCCTCTGATGCACTCTTGTCCACCTTCAATATGTTGTAATAATCATCACCCATAATTTCTCTCTTTGTCTTTACTTTTTCCTCCTGGATTCAACTAATTGAACCAAAACCAACAAAACCCAGAAAGAAAAAGCAATCAAATTTATGACCTTTTCGCTCAGACCCAGATCATCAAGTCCATTCTTTCACCATAAGAAGAAAGAATGGGAATGGTGAATTGGGGTTTTTTCTTTTGTTTTAGAAGTTTTTGATGAACCAAAATGATCTTTTATTCCCGGAAAAAGGTTTAATGAAGGAGGGGATGAACATTTACATTTGACAAGAAGAGGAATGGATAACCATTTTTGGTAGAGATCCGTTTCTTTTTTTTTTTTTCTGTCCCTGATTACCCGAAATGATCGGACAATAGCAGTCACAAAAAGTATCCAACTTTGGAGATTCAAAAGAAAAGGGTAAACACCGGTAATTATCAAAGATAAATAACATTTTTCATTTAAATTTGTGGTTTAACTAACATTTTGGTTTCCTCCAATCTCTTTTCAGTCATTTTTTTGTCATTTCCTAGATGCTGGTATTTACCAATTGGCAACATCTCCTGAACCTGGCTTCCTATAATGAAAAGTAGCCCTTACATTCTCACCTGATGCTTAAAAGCATTATTTGGAACAGATTTCACTCATGCTGCATTGTCAAAGATAATTAAGTCACCGATCACGACCAATAAATTATCTTTTGAATCACAATGTTTTACTTTATGTACATAAAACCAACATTACTTATCGTTTCCTCCAGATTGGGTTCAACAATTTGCAATGAACTTAATACAATGAGTCCAGAAGTTCAAGTATTACGTAATGTTCGTAGTATAAATCCATCTCCACCAACAAGAACTAGCTTGGTTCTGTGGCATAACTAGTGATGGCAATGGAGCGGGGCGGGCATCTCAATTCTCATGCCCCGCTCCACGTTACTACGGGGTGGGTCGAGTAAAACTCACGCGGGTATGGGTCGGGGTGGGGCGGGTTGAAACACCCTTACATATTATTTGAAAAAAATACACGCAAATTTTATGTTTTACGAGAAAATGAAGGGAAAAACGCTTTATGAATTAAAGATA